GGCTTTGCCTGACAACCCAGTGGATGCCTCGACAATCTTGTGAGCGTCTGCCTTTGGCAAGGAGGGCAGCTCAGAGCGCAGGACCTGGAGTCAGACTCCCAGGCAGCCTGCTTGCTGACTCGACTGTGACTCAGTGGACGCTCTCCTCTGTGGTCTCTGCCCCACAGCCACCACCAGGTGGAGGAAAGAAAGTGACTGCTGAACAAAGAGCTGGCGGACTGACTTAGAAGAGACCAGCGCAGCTGTTACTTCACGCTGGTTTCCAACCCTTTTCAGCTCCGCATTTTGGTCTCTTACGAAGCAAGTTCATCGGCATCATACAATTGTGCTTTTGATTACCATGTGTGTGTTTTAGGTCATGCCGCATGAGGATTAGGGAAACACGACTGTCTGCCAGAGGAGGGATGCGGTAGGACTGGAACTGGTGAGGGATAATATCCCACAAAGGCTGTCTTAGCAGAGTCCTGAGGGGAGATGCTTAACATTTCAAAGGCCATGTATCCTGTTATTTCTTGTACTATTCTATTCTTTTTAACATTGACATTTCACATAAATGTAACTAGAAAAATACTCATTTTTATATTTTTGTCTGTAGGTCCTGACATTGAGCCTTGAATGCAACAGATAATAAAAAGAAAATGCTTTTGAGCTTGAACCCTGAGCAGCTGGTAAAGAAAACAACAGTTGTAAGAGCTATTGACCTTGTGATTCAATGTGGAAATAACTATCACCTCCTCAGCAACCTTCTGCCCCCCCCCCACTGTTATGCTCCATCACATGACCTGTTCTGTCTTATCATACCCCTCATCAGCATCTGTTATTCATGTGTTTATTTACTGGTTGATCTATCTGTCTGCCTGGTCACCACCCTCTAATTTTCCACTGGAATATGGAATGTGTGAAGTCAGGGAATTTAGTTCCAGACACAGTGCATTCTCAGCTCCTGGTGCTTAGAAAGCATCCAATGAATATTTGTGAAATGTATGAATACATTTCTTCTATAGTCCTGCCTTCAAGAATAGAACTCAAAATAGCAGGGTCATTATATATTATTTTCCACACTGCCAACTCTTGACAATGAAAGAGAACACCATTAGGTATCTGAATAATAAGTGTCAGCTTTATAAATCTTTGTTGAATAAATAAAGGGGAAAACACGCAGAATACATACACATTTAAAGCAGAGCACTGGAGGGTTTGTCAGATATCAGGATTCAGGAATATATTTTTAAAAACATTTAGGAGATCATCCAAGAAAAGATACACAAGAAGTTATCCTACTAGAGCAGAGGTTTTCGACTTTTTACATCTCATGGCACACACAAACTAATTTCTAAAATTCTACAGCAAACCAAAAAATATATTGTTGGCTGATCTGGCCAAAGGAAAAAAAAAAAGCTATAATTTTGATTCATTCACACCAAAAGGCTATTGTTTTTGTTGGCTGTTGTCATTTTTTTTTTTATTTGATAAACTACAGTGCCCCTGACTAGATGGGCAGATATTGCATGTCTGAAAAATTCTTGCTGCACACCGTGAAAGTCACTGTGCTGGAGCATTAGAAATTAGCTCGAGGTGATTCATCACTAATGCCTTATCTGTGTGTCAGTGAAACTATTCAGATGATTTCCAAGTGCTTTATACAACTTGATTTCTCCAAGTAGTTAACCTTCCTTCCCTAGTTCTCCTGCATTAGGTCACACAATGGCATTCCCTGGGAAACCTTTATGTCTTTTGATTGTTTATTATTCTAAGGATTAGGAAACGTGAATTTAAGTTTAAATTCTAATTGCCTAGAATTCTCCAATAGTGGGATCCAGATTTGAAGGGGTTCCCCCTGCCCTTTCTTTTTAGTAGACAAGCAGGGTCTCATGAGTCCACATCACTAAGAGAACTTTGAAAAGTTAAAGTGATATTTTAATATTAAACTTACAATTTCGGGTTTTATTTTTAAAGGTGGTTTGTTGGCATACATGGTGATCTGTCATGTTTCACTGACTTAGCACAGTGGCAGAATTGGGACTTTCAGTAAAATTATAACAGATTTCTGTCTCTGTGCACCGAACATATTCTTAGGTGGGGATGCCTATGATTTCTGTATTCAGTTCAGAAACAGCTACTGTCAGGGGCTGGCTGCCTTTGGGCTGGTGATCCAGTCTGCAAGCTCTTCTTCCCCTTCAAGCTTTCCCAGAACCACCTGAGCAATGACAAATATTAAGAGAAACTTCTCCAGTGTGCCAGGTGCTGTGCTTTATGGGAACTGAGGGGATTCACCCATGAAGAACCCAAATGATGTGTTTAGTTCCTTAGCCATTAAAATTTAATTCATGCATGATAAAAGTAGGAAGAAGCAGTAGGGGAGTGATGGTGAAATGTTCCACACAGGGAGGTAACAAGGTACAAGGACATAGACACTCAAGGCTGTGACTGAAATAGGCTACACTGGTACACAGAGAGCCAGCCGCCTGGACAGTGGAGGTGATAGGCACACGTGAGCTCCTGCAGGTCCTTGTGGACCATGCTGACAATGCAGAACTACTTCTCTCCTTTTTCATTCTACCCTTCACTCCTGTGAGCCACACACCCCAGCAGAGGCCATGCAGACAAGGCTGTAGTGCTTATGGCTGTGGAAAAACCAGGGTGGGTCACCCCAGACAAAAGAAGAACCAGCCGTTCTGAAGAAAGACATCACCAATGTAAAGAACACCTCTCACTTGTATGAGTCTTTAGCAAACTCATCAACATACAGTAATACCTATTTATTTCTTTTTTTTACTGTCTATTTTCTCTCAACTAGACTGTAAGCTCCATGAGAATAGGGGAATTGTCTTTTATTTCTCTACTGCTGTGACCCCAACACACCAACCTGTAACTGGCACAGGTATGTGCTTATGGACAAATGAACTGATGAGTGACTCTGAGGTCAACAGGAAAATAAGTGTTCAGATAGGCATTTTTATTTATTTTTTAAATTTTTTTATCCTCACCCCAGGACATTTTTCCATTTTTTTGTTCAGGTAGAGTGAGAGAGAGAGAGAGAGAGAGAGAGAGAGAGAGAGAGAGGAAGAGAGAGAGGAAGAGAGAAAGAGAAACATTGACGTGAAAGGGACACATCGAGTGGCTGCCACCTGCACGACCAACCAGGGCCGGGGACAAACTGCAACCGAGGTACGTGCCCTTAGCGGGAACCGAACCCGGGTCTCTCGGGACTGCAGGCTGATGCTCTAACTGCTGAGCCAAACCAGCCAGGACCAGATAGGCATTTTTAAAAGTTCACTTACGCTATGACTGTGGCATATGGATTTTTAGTGAGGTGAAAGGGTAAGAGATGAGAGTGGGAGATGAGAGGGACTGAGTCCGTGGAATGATCTTTAAAAGACCCTAGAGTTCCTGACAGCCCTTTCTGTGGCTGGTGGGTAGGAAAATAGAGATGGAAACTAACATACATTAAATTGACATATTCTAGGTAACTTTATATACTTCACATCATTTGTTTCTCAGACCAAACACAGTACCTCTAATATGTGCATGACTTTCATTTTAGGGATGAAGAAGCTGAGACTCAGAAAACTTAAGCAATTGGCTGAAACAGCTGCAATATGAATCTGGACCTACCCAATTTTAAAGTGGATGCCCAGCTGGAAATTATACTATCCTGCCACTCCGAAAACCTGAGGAACTCTAGGTCAGTCACCGAAATCTTCATCCTAAACTTACCATTTGGTTTTCTGAGGTTGTTTGCAGGATCTACAGTGCAGGAAATGGCATGTTCTTATTAGATACTGTGATTCCCGCATTTTCATTTGAAGTCATGCACTTTGCAGGAACAGTTTTTAATTTCCTTAGCCACATTTTCCTAACACATATTCTGGCTACTGTTTTTAGCTCTGCCCGTGGTTCACTGATGAGTTCCTTTTCCATGCGACATCCTGCCTGCTTTTCAGATGAAGCCAGCTAAGGCAGAATTATCACACTCATTTGTGAGTACCTCAGAAATGAGCTCATTTCTAGTGCCAGTGAGCCAGTCAGGGGATGTTTAGACAACTGCTTCCAAATATCTTTGACAACTAGATCCACGTCTTGGCATCCTCTCCTGCTACCCCAATTCCATCTCTCTGACTTGCAGTTCTTATAACAGGATTTCTCTGTAGGTCCCTACTCTAAATTTCTGACATTTACTTGTGATAAATTGTAACTCTCTTTCAGGACTAGAGTGCTATCCTAAACCACAGTTCTGTGCGTTCCTGTTAACTCTTGTGGCACTCTCTTGCATGGCGACCTATTTTGGTCCCTACTTTAGCCTGGTCACTGGAGTGCTGTCTACACTTCCGTTTGTATAACCTCTGAGTATCAGTTGCCTTCTACATTCCTTGCCATTATAGAAACTACACTTCCTGCCCTACCATCTTGCATGGAGCTGGGGACATGGCACTGCATTTTGTCTAGAATATAGATGGGAGAGATGTATGCTCTTTCCAATCTGGTCCATAAAATCCTGCCCAGAACCAGCTGGCTATAACCCTCCAGAGAAACTTGGTTATTTTAAAGTGGTAGAGCCCTCATCAATCTCTGTCCTTAATGGATTTGGTGAGCACAAACGACTCTACCATTTTTGTGAATAAAAAATGAGTCTCCAGTTTATGATGCTAAGCCACTTCGATGTGGGCATTTACCTGACACAGGAGCCAGCTTCACTTACATAAAACACGCTTCTTCCAAAAACAACAGAGGCCTACATTTTTACAACTGGGTGAGCTTCAGAGTAAACACTGTGCCACACAGACAGCAGCTCCTCTGGCACTGGCCACTGTCAGCCAGTCAGTTCTTCAGGCTCTGCCTAATCGTACAGGACACGAGGCCAGGGTTCCCGCCCCTTCCCCGTGTCAGCCTCATGCGGCCTCCAGTGGGCCCGCACACCTTATCCGCCTGTCAAGCTACAGCACACTGAAAGACTTAACACAGAACTGTTCAGTGGGAACAAACACCGAGAACCCAGATACCTCCACGGCCACAAGTCTGTGAACACTCTGTCCAAGCTGTCCACTCCGAGAGCTGATAGTTGACCACACACTCCACCAGGCAGTGAAGGCTCATTCTCTGGGGCTTCTCCAAGTTACGCTGCAGATGGAAGTGAAATATGATTTTACTGGAGCATTCATATCGGCATCAAATCAAAACATTACCCTTTTATGGGAAAGACTGTCCTTTATTTTATGAATTTTGTGGGGAAAAATATCCTTTCTTACATAAATTGGTAGCAATCACATACAAAGGTTATCCTTACTTCACACAATAAACATCTGTCAATCAAATTTTCTTTTTATAAACTCTACAGCAGACCTGCAATTAGGGTCCTGGGAAAGCAGGTGGTTACATGACAAAGAGACCTGTCACTCAGCCAGCAGGGACCAGGAGGACGCTCAGTGCTAACTTTAAGCACCTTGCGCTTCCGGGTGAGTGAACAGTACACAGAGAGTTCCAAACAAACAGCCAGCTAGGCTAAAACATAAATAAAAAAGAATAAGACTTAAATCAATAACCCATCTAAAGTTTATTTTAAAAGACCGATTATGTTTAAAAACATAATCATGGGCTCAATCCTGGGAAAAGTCGGTGATACAGTTCGCTTTTCTCTTGTCTTCTCTCAAGCCTGTATCTAGGCAAAATCTGAATTTTCCAATGATCAAGGTAGAAGAGGTCTTAGTGAAAGAATAAATCATCAAAGAAGCACAAAGGATAATAAAAAAAAAATCTGCTTTAGTAATCGTACACTGTGTGCTTATTTAGGAAAACTTTGACCTTCAACACATGGCAAGTGTTAGCAATGTCCATGCCAAGCTAACATTAATGATCATAGTAAGATTACTTGACAAGTGGGCAAAATGGAAATGACCGTTTGGGATCTATGATCCAAACAAGATATGGATATTCTAGTTAGGTAAATAATTTGGGACTTCTTTAAGCTAATATTTTTAAAATATTTGTTGGACATATGGTATTTGGAAAGCAGAAAAACTGATTTTTCTATTAATGAAAACTTTAGATCTTTATATCAAAGGGAAAGATTTATTATACATACTGAATGTAAGATTTTTTTCACTTATTTGGAGTTGTTGTAGATTGCTAATTTATTTTTCTTGAAGCCGACTTCTTGAGAAGCAGGTGAAATAAAATAAAACATTAAAAGAAATCACTGGTTCTTGGTAGATAGAACTCTGCTATGTATTACCCAGTTTCAGAACTTCACCAAATGGGGCATCCACTTTCAGGTGGTCTGGTCTCGGCATTGGTGTTGGTCTATAGCTATGCTTTTAGTTAGAGAGCATGTTCTTGTGACAGTATTTAACACATTGAATCAAGATAGATGAGGAAGATTTTGTTTTGTTGTTTTTTTAATTCTTACCCAAGGACATTTTTCTATTTATCTTCAGATGGAGTGGGAGGGACAGAGAGAGAGCGAAACATTGATGTGAAAGAGACACATCAACTGGTTGCCTCCTGCATGACCCTGACCAGGGCCAGGGACAAACCACAACCGAGGTACGTGCCCTTGACCAGAATCAAACTCGTGACTCTCGGGTCCATGGGCCGACGCTCTAACCACTGAGAAAACTGGCCAGGGTGGTTTAGTTTTACTTTTAATTTCTAATTGTAGACTCCACCTATGTTAGGGGACATAGAACAACTTTTATTTTTCCAGTTTGATCAAGTTTGTGTGGTGATCTGAGTTCAATTTATTCTAAAGGTGGTTTAGTGATTCTTATAGTGTGACAGCATACAGTCCTATTTATTTCTATTAAATTGCCCCCATGGTAAGCTTTTCACTTGTACATTGGGAAGGTGATGCCAAATTCTTTCGAATAGCATTTACACCAACTCCATGGAGTTTGTCACAGGAAGGGAAGCAGCTGCAATTCTGAACCTGCTCATTTGAAACTTGGTAGGGAGGCATTTTAACTTAGTTTGAAAAGAAAAATACAACTGTACTAATTATCTAGCAATTGCATACTAAGAAAATTAGCAGAGTATTCTAATAACAAGTGTCAGTGTCCATCTTATATGCAAGGGACAGTATTTCTCACATATGCAAATGAGTTGCTGCCCAATACAGTCATATCTAAATATTAGTCACCTGATGTCAGTGGTTTGTTGGCCAGCAAGTATATCTAAATATGTTACTGAAAATCATAAAAAAAAATACATTTTTTTCTTTATTGATTTAAGAGAGAGAGGAAGGGAAAGGGAGAGAGAGATAGAAACATCAATGAGAAAGAACATCGATTGGCCGCCTCCTGCATGTTCCCCTCTGGGCATCTGGCCCACAACCTGGGCATATGTCCTGACCAGGAATCGAACCAGCGACCTCTTGGTGCATGGGTCGATGCTCAACCAATGAGCCACACCAGCCGGACAAAAAATACATATTTTTTAATGAACTCATTTCCCCAGTGCAAAATGACCTTTCCTGCCATTGTGAGTGAGATATAATTGGACTATCGCAGTACCAATTACTCTAACGGAACCCAAGCTGTGATGGAAATCAGCCTGCCATTTATACCAAGCATCCAGGAGGCGGCACATATTAATGAAAACACAACCCTGGGGATGAAATACAAATAAAACCAGTCACCTGCTCACACTGGTCCACGCCGACCCGCTTGCCGTCGCTGCGCACACAGCTCAGGAGGCGAGTCCTGACGCCTTGCCCACAGGTCGCGTTTTCGTGCAGCTGGCACGTGCTCCAGTCTGCAGGCACAGAATCACCAACGTGAGTTTCAAAGTCATGGTCACACGAGCAAAAGACGACGAGCCTTCGGTTGTCTGCATTACTGGGAGGGGAGGTGTGCACACGAGCCTAAAACCTCTTCAGCTGGCTGCAGAAACATCACACAGTTCTTTAGAGAAAAACAAACAATCAAATTAATAAGAATGAATTACCTTCCTAAGTTTGCTTTCTTGAGGTAAAAAGGCAAATGCTTGTTAGAAACCATCTCACAGTTGGTTGGGAAAGAAAGACACTAACAAGGATGACAGAGGAAAACAAGTTTGGAATCATCTGTCTGCTGGGGATAATTGAGAGAGAAAATAACCCAGAAATGAAGCCAATCTTTGGTGTAAACTTGAAAATGTTTTCAAGGAATAAATATAATCATCTAAACAATTTGGCACACTTGATACAGTGAAGCCAAGAGAAGTACCTAGAAAGGAAAGAGTTCAGCATAATCATAGCTATACGGACTGTCCCCAGAACTAATTTTTAAATATTATTCTCTTATCAAAGAAGGTTTTATAGATTTGGCTCATTGCATTACAAAGTAGACAGCTGAGAGTTGGAATAAACTCTTCCATAATTAACCTGCTTCTTAAAAATTCTTATTTTTGGTGCGGGTAAAAAGGAGGATCCTTGATCACATGCAATGAGATCTTTTTTTTTTTTTTTTTTTTTTATCCTCACCCGAGGATATTTTTCCATTTTTTGTACAGATAGAGTGGGAGGGAGAGAGAGGAAGAGAGAGAGAAACATCGACGTGAAGGGACACATCGAGTGGCTGCCACCCGCACAACCAACCAGGGTCGGGGACAAACTGCAACCGAAGTACGTGCCCTTAGCGGGAACCGAACCCGAGTCTCTCCAGACCGCAGGCCGACGCTCTAACCGCTGAGCCAAACTGGCCAGGGCGAGATCTTTTTTTTTTTTTTATCCTCACCCGAGGACATTTTTTCCATTTTTTTGTTCAGGTAGAGTGGGAGGGAGAGAGAGAAACAGAGAGAGAGAGAGAAACATCGATGTGAAAGGGACACATCGAGTGGCTGCCACCTGCACAACCGACCAGGGCCGGGGACAAACTGCAACCGAGGTACATGCCCTTAGCGGGAACCGAACCCGGGTCTCTCAGGACCGCAGGCCGACGCCCTAACCGCTGAGCCAAACCAGCCAGGGCTGCAATGAGATCTTTTTAAAGGAGATTTTCCATATTTGGTAGATGATCTAAGAGTTTAATAGAAATAGCGAACTCTTATGCAATAAAATCAGTGTTTTAAAGACATGCTCTTCCAGGAAAGCACATTGAATTGTATTTCTGAAGAAATGACTATGAAAACCAAGGATCTGATGCACCTTTCACTAAAGAAAGAAAACAAACACATGAAGTCATCTTCCACCTATGAAGACGATCATACAGCCCCAGAGACTTCCCTACACAGTTGCCTACAAGAGGAATCTCAGCAGCGCCACTGGGGTTTCAGTGGGGAATTAGGTTCAGGAAACAACATTGCTTTGCCTCTGCGGGCAGGGGACAGTTTGGTTGTCAGTATTGAATCCAGTACTGAGATGTCACGTGGCTCCACATTCTGGGGCATTTTGTATGTCTGCGGCTGCAGGAAATGCTGGTAGTAGATCAATATCACTCAGCAGTCTGTGGTGTTGGACACTGAGCACGCTGGCGCCAGGAAGAGTCTGAGCAGCGGCTGCGGTGGCTCCCAGGCTCTCGAACACCCCTTCCAGGCAGCCGACAGCATTCCTCACTGAGACCCACAGAGACAGCACATCACAAGCTTGAATTTCTTGAAATAGTAGAAACCATTAAAGAGCTACATTCTATGGCAGAATGATTATATTCTTTCCTAAATGGTAAATTATCCCCTGAAGTTTTTATTGTTTCAGTTGATCATGGCTTAATTCAACTGGATTCTGAAATTTGGCCCAATCTCTCTGAGCATCTTTCAATTCAGAGATTCTAGGTGGCACTGCTGAATGTATGTGGAAAGAGTGGGCATTTCTTTCTGCAAAGGGACACAGGAAATGTCAAATCCTTAGCCCGTTGTGCAATATATTTGCACATTCTATTATCAGTTCTTAACCTAGAGAAAGAAAACATGTGCAGGCATTCTCAAGTTTTTTTTTTAATCCTTACCTGAGGACATTTTTCCATATTTTGGTTCAGATAGAGTGGGAGGGAGAGAGAGACAGAGAGAAACATCGACGTGAAAGGGATACATCGAGTAATTGCCACCCGCATAACCCAACCAGGGCCGGGGACAAACTGCAACGGAGGTACGTGCCCTTAGCAGGAACCGAACGTGGGTCTCTCTGGACCGTAGGCCAACGCTCTAACCACTGAGCCAAACTGGCCAGGGCCAGGCATTCTCAAGTTTGTCAGCGTTCAGGAAGGAGGGCATGGCGTGGACTTCAACTGTACCTGTCAGATTGTACTGGAACTGGAAGCAGTTTTCATTGAGGAGACAAGGCCGCACCTGGGAGTCTTCGGCACAGGTCCTTGAGCTCAGCGAGGGCCTCAGCAGGTGGCGAGTTCTCCTCTGCATAGTGTGGGGATCACATGACTACGAACACCAAAGAGCAGGCAGAGTGAGGGAAGACCCAAGTTAGCTGGTAAATTACGACGATCTGTACACTTGTAGCAACATGTACAACAACTATAGGAAAGAGACTGTTGAAAATATTAAACACAATATTTAGAGCATAAAACCACCATGATTCAATGTAAATAGTTTCTGGTGTTGTCACCTGACAACCCTTCTTTTTTATGTTGTGGTGAAGCCTACATTTTTAACCTCCCATGGGTAATTACGCATGGAGACTCTTTTCATTAGTTAAGTGTACTCTGTACTCTCAGTCTGCCCCTCAGCAAGAGATTAATGCATTCTGAATGTTTAAATGAATGAAAAAGGAAGACATTGTCCTTGTGCCCTCAGATAGTCTAGCCCAATAGAAGTAACCGCACAGAACATTGTAATGAGAAAATCATTTTTAAAAACCTGGAACAAACAGATACACAGAGAATTATTAGATCAATATTGCAAACAGACCAGAACTCTCCTCTTATTTGGGAGGTCCTAGGAGCCACGGCCTTTTTCGCAAAATAAACGTGCACATGTGATCGTCAGATTTCTTGCAAATATTCCTTCTGCCGCGGGCCCACATGTTCTCTCATAGTTCCCACTCACAGAATGCCCTTGAGCCAGGTAACTGGCCAGGCACATCTGCACTGGCTTCACCCACAGTGGACCTTCAAGCTCCCCTATGGGAAGAATCTCCTCTCAGCTCTCCTTCCCATTGCTCAGAACACTAACTGAGCCTTTATCAGTGATAGTTTTTCTTTTTTGGTTAATCTTCACCAGAGGATATTTTCCCATTTATTTTCAGATAGAGTGGGAGGGAGGGAGGGAAAGAGAGAGAAACACTGACGTGAGAGAGACACATTGATTGGTTACCTCCCGCACAACCCCAACCAGGGCTGGGGACTGAACGTGCAACCCAGGCACGTACCTCTGACCAAGAATTGAATCTGAGACCCTCTGGTCTGAGGGCCGATGCTCTAATTGCGAGCCAAACCAGCCAGAGCAACAGTCTTTCTTTTAATAATGATAAATTCTTCTCATCTGGCTGGTGTGGGTCAGTGGTTAAGCGTCGACCCATATACCAAGAGGTCACATGTTCGATTCCAGGTCAGGGCACATGCCCAGGTTGTGGGCCAAATCCCAAATAGGGGGCATGCAGGAGACAGTCAATCAATGTTCTCTCTCATCGATGTCTCTCTTTCTCACGTCCTCTCTCTCTCAAATCAATTAAAGAAAATAAAAATAAAAAATAAATTCTTCTCTTCTTTTCTGAGCAACTTTCCACCCATGCTCAGGAATTACTCTACAGGATTTGCTTCTAAACATATATACATACACATACACTTATATGTTACACCTGCCCTTATAATGTTGTTCTGTATGACCCTGGCTTTTCCCTTTCTTTATAAAGCTTTTGGGAGCATGATAGATCATGGTTTCTACTTGCCATTTCATTCACTGAAATATTGGTATATATTTTACACAGTGGTTGTTCAATGAATAGTATTAAATATGACAACAACACAAATTCAGACCCAGAAATCTAAAGAGGCACAGAGATGCTCAGACTACAGGAAAAATAAAAAATCTCTGAATTAAGGTCACCAGATCATCATTTCCATATTTGGGATTTTTGTTGTTGTTGTTGTTGTTGTTTTATTCCCTTTACCTTTCAGATATTGTAGCAAGAACACAACCTGTAAACTGAATCTTTGCTGTTAATAAAAATGTTAATGTTAGATTGCACTGAACTGTGCAGGGAAATGCCACAAGTTTTTCCTTCTAACTTTAAGTGTTTGGAGCCATTGAAAGACATTTACTATTTATGTCACTTTATAGTTGGATAATCTGTCAATACTTGTAAAGTAATTTTGTATTTTAATTGTATTGAATAATCAAGAAGGGCCATTGAAACCAGATACTTATTCTTAATTATCTGCAAGTAAATCCCATGTTGAATGGTTACCAATAATTTATTATTAGTTCACTGATTAATTTGTCCACATGAGAAGGAGTAATAACTTACATAACTTGTCAATGAAAGAATATGAGTTATCTTGGTAGACATTCCTGATTACTCCTTTTCTACCTTATTAAAAACACAATGTCTGAACCAAGTGAATATATATAAAGACTTAAGTACTCGCTTAGTCTAAGCCAGTGGTTCTCAACCTTCCTAATGCCGCAATCCTTTAGTACAGTTCCTCATGTTGTGGTGACCCCCAACCATAAAATTATTTTCGTTGCTACTTCATAACTGTAATTTTGTTACTGTTATGTCTTAGGCGACCTCTGTGAAAGAGTCATGACCCACAGGTTAAGAACCGCTGGTCTAAAAGAAAGGGGTATAATTTGATAAGATTTAAAAATTTCCTCACAGTATATCAATCTCTAGTCTCTAAGACTGCTGTATATGGTTTTAAAATATCCTCTGGAACCTAACCCATCATACATAACCATCTAGAAGTTGATAATCACTTTCTGGAAATTAACATATTGAAAACCAACACTGAAGCTAACTCTCCCACTAATACTTTTTTCCTCTGGAAACAGGCAAAGGGGAGCATGAGGGACTAAAATCTTCAAACACAATCCAACCTAATCTTAGGCAGGATTTTTACATTCCTCCTTATAAAGACTGCCCGAGCACTGCTCACAGGTGCTAGATGGGTTAGTGTTTCTCCTTACTTTTTGTCTGTTAGCCTTTTACAAGTTCATACAAATTCATACAATAATGAATTGGTCACGGGGATATGGGGGTGGGGGACTAACAAAAAAGGAACAGTAAAGGAAGCTTAGATCTGGATGATTTGTTTACTGAACCAAGATTCCTCTTTTCTAGAGTATTTATATAAAGACATGTTGTCAACTTTCTAAATAAAAAAGCGAGAAAGCAATGTGTGGACTACTAACCCAAAGCCAACTCTGGGCCAGTTCCATTATAAAGATCAATGTTATATAGCTCAGGTTTATTTGCTAGGAAAGGAGATGACCAATAAGACCAGTTATAGTACTTCCCACTTATCCGCAATTTTGCTTTCTGTGGTTTGCCCAAGGGCAACCATGGTCCAAATATATTAAATGAAAAAAATCCAGAAATAAACAATTCATAAGGTTTAAATTGTTCACCGTTCTGAGTAGCATGATGAAATCTCACACCACCTCCCTGAGATGGGAATTATCCTTTTGTCCAGTGTATCCACACAGTATATGCTCCCTGTCCATTAGTCGTTTAGTAGGCTCAGTTTTCAGATCAACTGTCAGTATTGCAGTGCTTGTGTTCAAGTCCCCCTTATTTGACTTAATAATGACCCCAAAGCACAAGAGTAGTGATGTTGGCAATCTGGATATGCCAAAGAATATTCCTTTAAGTGAAAAGGTTTGTAGGTATAGGAATAAAAGATGGTATACATAAGGTTCAGTACTGCCATGGTTCCAGGCATTGACTGGAGGCCTTGGAGTGTATTCCCTGCAGATAAGACACAACTGCTGTAGTCTCTGGTACATATGCCCCTTTAAGAGATTAGATTTTCTAACTTATTACCTTTGAAAACCAGCACTTACTTAAAGTTCAGTTATTCCTTATAGCACTGTGTCTTCACACCTTTGGTTCTTTCTAGCAACAATGCCTTCACCCTTAGGCCTGAACTGAGTATGTGTATTCATCTGTCAAAGTTAAATCACATCTCTCTTCTGTGATCCTCTATTGACTTCCTTGGACCCCTATCAATGGCATCACCTCATGTAATACACATTTGCACTGCACTTGCACATGTATTGACGTGTGTGCGTTCCTTCCCATGGGCTATTTATTTATTTTGGTACATGCCCCTAGCAGGAACCGAACCCGGGACTCTCTGGTCCGCAGGCCAACGCTCCAACCGCTGAGCCAAACAGGCCAGGACTCCCGTAGGCTATTTAAAGAACAAGTCTATGCCTTAATTTTCTTGGACATTGAGAGGGTTGTTCTGTGTCTGGCATAGAGTCTACAAATAATCAATATTTGTTGTGTAGAATAATTTGATTCTTCTTGAGCAATACGACTGAATTTTTGTAAGCTGCCATTAGCAGACAAATGGTCAACCCTGGACTAAGGTCACCTTGCCTAAATGTAAGGATTCCCCATAGATCTGTATAGCTGAGAGAGTGGAATCACTTCTCTAATTTTCATACATTTTCTACAAAATCTAGATAAAAGTTCCCAGAATAACTGAATCTATCATTAAATTAATAAACATACCAATACATCGATTTTATTTACCCATATAAATGATGACAAATAATTTATATATTTTAAATAAATGAACATAAACTTTTTTGTAAATTATAAAGTGGTTAAATTAATCTTTGTGAATCAATTGCTGTCCTTGAAAACTCTCCTAGTAAGGTTTTGCAAACACTTTAAACAATTGTGTTTGAAAATATATTAAATGCAAGGCACCACACCAATGAATAAAACATTATTCAGGGAGGATTTTCCTTCTATACTTTGGATTTTCAAGAGATCATACCTTGTATCCACAAAAGACTTACAATTACATTTTAAAAGAACATGTTTAAGGACTTAAAAGAAAATTTAGTTATTTCTTCCTCACTGTAAAAAACAAAAGCATTTACTGACTTTGCCTCTGAGGAAGTTAAGTTTCATTTACTAATTTGTGTGTGTTGAAAGATAAAGGGGCAGGTGCATAAGGCTGGTCTTAGTCATCCAAAGACATGTTTCATTCAAATGAGAAGTTGTGACACATTAGTGGGTTGTGAACACTATTTTATAACAAACACTTTTATAATGCTTACTAAGTGCTGGTCAATTTTACTTTTTTTTAATCCTCACTCGAGGACATTTTTATTGCATTTATCTTCAGAAAGAGTGGGAGGAAGAGAGAGAGAGACATCGATGTGAGAGAGACACATCAAGTGGCTCCCACTCACACAACCCCAACCAGGGCTGGGGACAAACTGCAACCGAGGTACATGCCCTC